TCCTTTATTGTTGGCACCATTTTACTTAAAGTAACATAAGAACCACCTGAAAATTCACATGTGGCTTGCTCAAAAGGCATTAATAAAGTTATTAATTCATCAACTAAATCCCAATCCTCATCTGATAGCATTATTTTTCTAAGCTTATTTCCATCTTTTTTTCCTTCTCTATTTGTTGATGTACATAAATCAGTTTGAAGTTGAATAATTGCATCTTTTAAAAAGAAAAGACGATCAAATGCATAATATGAAGAGTTCCACCTAGTGGAAACATCTTGTACCAATTGCAAGGCTTCTGTATAACCTAAATGTTTTTGTACATTTTTTAATCTCTCTACTTGTTTTTGTGTTGAAAAAAAATTAATTATCCTTCTTACACGAGCAACCAATACCTCAGCAATCATTAAACCTTTTCCAAATGCTAATTGTAATGCGTGTGATACACATGGTAAACGTTTGATGGCATAACAACCAGGTTTTTGGTTAAGTAATTGAATGGATGCAATCATATTGGCACCATTATCAGTCACTATAGATACAATTCTACCTAACAAATTCAGTCTAAAATACTTTCATAAAGAGAATCAGCAATTACAACTGCAGTATGAGGTGCAGAAACATATTTAATATCTAACATGATGTCAACTACACTAAAGTCTGTTGCAATAAAAGAAGCAGTAATACCAAGGTATCCATGCTTGGCTCTACTGGTCCAGAAGTCTGTAGTTAATGAGATATAATCAATTCTTTGTTGAAAATTTTCACGTAATGCTTCTTTGTTAAAACTGTAACTTTTTCCAATCATAGTTCTTAATTTTTTGCACCTGGTATAGAAAATTCTGGATCAAAAACTTTCATTTTTTCTATATATGCTTCATTAGTAACAATAGACAAAGGTTGGTTGGTTTTCAATATCCATTTAAGCAGTGCCTCTTCTTTTTTTTCTGAATATATGGAGGATGGTTATGAGTTACTTGTGAATAATCAGTTATTTTTCTTTGTGACTAAATGTTAAAAAAGATAATATATTTTAATTAAAAGATTAAAAATAATAATTTAATCAAAAATATTAATTTAATTAAAAATATTAAATATGAGATGACATATATTCTTACCTTTTTTCTTTCACCAACTATTTCTACTTCATTGATACCATGCACTTCATCTAAATGTCTTTCAATTTTCCAGTAGAATACCCAAAACTTTTATACGTTTTTTTACAACATCTCCCATTTTTATCCAAATGTTACAAATGCGCAATTCTTCACCAGTTGTAGGATCAAAAGCTTTTCAAAATAATCATTAGTAAAACTATAATTTTTTCTTTTCTTTTTATTTATTCTAGATATATTTGAAGATGAATCTGCATTATCTGTAGCAAGGAATGAATATTAATAACATAACATGTATGAATTATTGTTAAAAGGTCATTCATTAATTATACTTACTCCCAACACAAAACACTTCATTATTATTACTATTAATACTGTTAGTATCATCATCATCATTATTATCAGACATTTTGAAATCGTTTTTTTATTAAAATATTTTTTTTTTTTTTGAATTAAATTTTAATATTTAATAGAAACCGGATTCAACCCGGATTCAACCCTCTTTTTTTTTTAAGAACCGGTTATCCGTTTTCAAACCGGTTTACGGGTTCAAACCGGTTTGGGCCAAACCGGATCCAAACTCTAAACTGAAGGATTAATTTCAAACACACCTAATGATTCTTTCTTACTTAAAAATCTTTCGGCCGAAATTAAAATTCAAAGATTACCCACCAAGTTACTTTCACTAAAATTATTTATTAGTCGTTGGCAATAAAATGGAATAATTAGCTATTTTTACAAAAATATCAAATCGTAATAAGTAATTTAATATTTTAGATACAGTAACCAGTTTGATAATTAAAATTGATCCAGACTATTAGATACATATTATTGATGGAAAATCCATCTATTTTTGAAACAATAGTCAAGTTCTAAATTAATTCATCATTTTATATAGAAGAAAAGAGTGGATATTGACTTCGATGCGCATCACAAAGACATCCAATACCACGTTAGATAACAAAGTTTCAACAACATCTTCTATCAAAATTAATCCTTCGGTTGCAAAAATTGCTCAACAAACGATAGGCAATAAATAGTAATTTAACCAAGAAAATAAAAGAAACAATTACTTTAGAATCAAGAAATATCAAAATTCAAAAATTGGTACAATTAGCAATATCATGTTGAATCATTATCTCCAAATTTTTTTTTATCGATTTAAAAATTACGTTTATTTGCTAAAAAAAAAAAAATTTCACTATATGCGTTAATTATAATTAACAAGTCATAGTTATGCATGAATGAATGATTACAATCGTAAAGAAAATTTACTATTATTATAAATTTTTGATCTGGTTTTATTATTATTATTATTATTATTATTATTATTAAATTCGCTTACCGATTTTTCGAATAGTAATAGTAATAGACTGAGCAATGAATTTTGGTCATAGCGAGAGTTTCTCAATAATGATCGACGAACTTTATCGAGATTTTCAATCGGGGTGGTTGAATAGACAATTCTGATTGGCTAATTTGAATTTCTTCTTTTTGATGAGTTGACAGTAATAAATATTTAGCAATACATCCATCTAACATATTTTATTATATAAAATAGCTTCGTAATATATCAAAAATGTTGACTTTTAAGTTCTATAATATTATCAGGTTTCCTGTTCTTTTTATATCTGTTAAGTTTTTTTCCATATTTAAATTCCGTACATGTTATTGAAATTTATATACTAAACTCTTTAATTATAAAAGTTCATTCATAATATTACTATTGGAATACGTTGATCCGGGAGCAGAATGTGAAATAGAAAGTTTTGAAATTTACATATTTTTAATTTAAAATTATATAAATAGTCGTGTAACAATTTTGAAATTTTGCCATTATTACCATGTTGAAACCGGCCCGACCTCTAATTTGAATTCATAAAGATTATTAATGATAACAATACCGTGTACAAAGGCTGAAGGATTGATTATTTATTTTTTTTTATTTTTTTTTTTTTATTTATTTAATTTTTTTTTAGTACAATGAAGATCGTTTGTAATCAAAGGTTGTTTATAATAGCCATTGAATTCCTAAAGCAAAAATTTTTATAACATTTCAAAAATGTTGCCTGGTAAGTTTTATAGTTTATGACTGGATTTTCTTGGACTCGAAATTGGTCGAGCCTTAGCATTTTGAAATTTTAAAATTTTACTGAAAAAAAATTGAAAATAATTAAGTTTGGTGTAACAAGAGTTTTATAATCTTAATTATTAAAGATGTTCTCGATCGTAACACTTCATAATGAATTTAATATAATATAAAATTTTAAATGAGTTTATAAAGAATTGGTGATTGATTAGTTCATAAAAGGCAAAAAGGATTTATTTTCAATAGAAAATCATTCAGTCCATAAAAAGGCATATAAATTTTCAATAATAGGAATACAAAAAGGAATTTACTATCAAAAATTTAAAGCGAACAAAGCTTGCATAAAACTAGTATTGGTTCACAATTACCGTTTTTGAAGCTCCTTGTGTTAAAGCCACCATATTTCTTTGGACACAACCTGTTTATTTACTCGTTTAAATCCTAAAATTCTGCAACTCCAAATCGTTATATATTCTCGCCAAAAAAGATGAAGTTTACCTCAAGTAGATATACAAAACATATTCTACACAATTCTTATTCAATTCACAATGTCTACTAGTGTGACGGAAGATTACAGCAAGATCAAATCGTTTGCAATTTTTCCACCTATTGGTGTTGCACGTGTTGGCAATTCCACAGATTATTATGTCGGAGCAGAGATTTCTGGAGTGTACGTTGGAGGTAAGCTGTTGAATTTCTAATTACAGCAACATTTAGATATGTATATTAATTAATGTTACTAATATTGCCTCTTTTTCATTCTAATACATGTATAACTTTTGTCACTACAGAGGGTGACACTTTCTTCAAATTTAAGGATGAAAATAATCGTGTAAGACCACAAGCTGCAAGGTTCAGGATATATGGTTACGACGAAAGTGGTGTCGTGCGGGAGATCAAGCTTACTGATGAAAATGAAAATGTGAAAGTAAAAATTGTCTGGACTGTTACACTCGCTAATAAGAAAGCAGCACACACAAGATTCTCCGGTATCAAAAAGTATAAAATAGATAACATAAAAAGAAACCCTAGTATGTAATTCTGCCTATCTTTAAAACTTTACAACTGTACAATATTAACTGAAATTGCAAAACTATCTTTAGATTGGGAGCATGATAGGTCAGCATTGATAGTTACTAAAACGCAAGATTTATCCTCCGATGATGAAAATAAGGAGAAAGATTTCGAGGGGATTATTTACAAAACCAATGAGCATCCTGGACATAAGTTAGAATTGGGAAAGATGATAATGGAGAAGGAAGGGAGTTTGTTAATTATTGGTGGCAAGGGAAAGTCTGGACGTGTCAAAAAAGGTTTGTCTATCTTTTACTTATAAAAGACTTGCGTATATACTCAAATCAATTATTCATGTCACTTTGTTTTATTCTCATATTCTACAGATGCTCTTATTACTGAATATGCTAACAACGATTATTGGTATGATGACACTTCCGATGGCTCCATAGATGCTACCGTTACCATCACTATTAATGGAAATGAGAAAACTCTCAAAAATAAAGGTAATACTTATTATCTATAACCGTAAAATCGAAGCATTTAGTGACTTTATGTGAATTATGCCTGTTAAATAAATAATTTAGAGAGCAAGTCATGGGTTCTTGTAGCACCTCCAAAATATGCACCAGGTATTCCCAATCTTGTATCGTTATATCAAGTTATCAAGGAAACACAGGGACTTATTCCGATGAACACAAGTAATGTATGTACATATTATTCGAGCTGTGCAATAGTATCATTACTCAGAAAATTGATATTTATACCCTAATTTCCAACATTTTGCAAGGTGGAATATTACCGTGACATTCGTCCAATATTTGATACAATTCATAAAAACTCTTGGGTTAATCTTATGGCTTTCAATGGTCATGGACTGAACTCGAAAGGTAATTTTTTGAGACCAGAGTTGGAAAAACGTCTGAAAGATAATACAGAACAAGAAGAAGGCTTAAGGTTTGTTCTTCGTTCATTTAAATTACAATTTGCTTTTTTTTATATTTATTTCATTATCGATGTACAGGAAAAGCATTTTCTCTCGTGTTCGGAAACCTGATGGCATCGTAAATCCATTCGAAAAAAATGGTCAAGCTTATGAATACTTTATGCCGCCTTTGTCTGGAAATAGTGGAGATGTCGTACCTTCTCTTCCAGATACGTTTTTGACTGTTACTGCGGGTCAATACCGGTAAACATTACATTGGAATTTATGTCATTTGACTTTGAATTAACCTTTTTCTTTTTCATTAGTCTCTTAGAAAAGTGGGCTAGGGGTGATTTTGAAGTGAACGAAAGTAACGAACCCACCAAGTACGACTATCAATTTTTAAGAGAAGGAACAGGCAGATACCCAAAGTATAGAAAGGAAAGCAATGGAGCACCCGAGTACAAGGAGTTTGAAGAAGTTATCACTGATGTTTCTGATCAAGTTAAAAATCTTAGAAAAGCTCCGCTTGAATGGTGTGTCGGAGGTCCATTCTATCCTGGAATTGAAATGACTTTTGTTGCATACTATAGTTATACATTTAGTAGTAAATATGAATTTAGGTATTCACGATACACATATTCATACTTGACTTGAAGAATTTGAATAATTGATCCATTATTCTTAATTCTTGCATTTTTTTCGTTTTTAAAGAATTAATGAAAGTATTGAACCTGGAGATATTAACGCATACATGGCTTTACCTTGGCAAGCCGATTTTTATGAGTGCCGCGACCACTGGTGGCCAGCTCAAAGACCCGATGTCGTGATCCCACAAGAAATACTGGTAATTTGTGATTGATGAATTTTATTTGTTTTAAGGAATTAAATTAACTGATTATGATTAATCGTAGATGAAAGAAATTATGGGAAAAGAAGATAAAATTACTTCAAAACACTTTCAAGAATGGACCCGCGGATTCAGAGTCAATGAGACAAACGATGATGAACCTAAATGGGGTGATATGGATATGGTCAAGGCATGGGATAGGCAAGCAGATATGTCATTGCATTTATACTCGCAGCGTATTCTTACTTAAAATCGTTTCGTTGCTTTTGAATTTTTCAGGTTGGGATTTGTTATCGAGGAGAAGATTAATGAAAATACAAAAATATTTCATGAGGTCGAACGCGGTAAAATTTACAATGACACTAGTGAAGGTGATATAGTAACCAACATAACCACAGATGATGTGAGTTTCATTTATAGTTTTAATGCTATTTTATTACAGTTCAATATTAAATCCCAGATTAACTCTTTCTTTCTTCCTATTTCCACAACAGCTTTATGATCTCCTTCAAATCGCATTGGAAATTGAACTCACCACTATTCCACCATATTTATACGCTATGTACTCGATAAAGCCAGGAGAAGATCCGAATGATATGTGTATTACTAGTAACCATGTGATAAAACTAATCCGTCAAGTTGCTGCAGAGGAAATGTTACATGTATCCCTTGTAGCAAATCTTATTGTTGCTATTGGTGATAGTATGTATTGAAAAATATTTTTTTTACAATGTGCATTTTGATTAATACAACGACAATTATTTATGATGAACAATTTTTTTAAAAACACAATGGATTTGCAGAATATAAACCTATCTTCTATTCTCAGGAAGCGATTCCTTCCTACCCGAACCCCTTGCCCCACGTTAGCCAAGGTAAGTTTTATTGAAATAATTAGTTCAACCGAGACGCTATTTGCAAAAATCATGTTCACCATATTGCTCTCGAGGTGAAACTCAAATCATATTGCATTTTCAAATATAGGCGAAGTTATGGTTAATTTGTCAAAAGCAGATGAAACTAATATCGAAACTTTTATAAACATTGAAAAACCCGATGAACTATTAATGAAACACTCTAAACCTATATTTCATAAATTAATGAAATTACGTACATCGCCTTTAGGTAATTGCATTTCTTTTATCATTTTACAGATTGCGCATTATTACTGTAAATTTTGTAATGTATCATGATCCTTCAATTTTTTTTGCAGCTGGCAATGTGGTGGCTGATGAGGTCTCAGTTGGCAGTATAGGAGAACTCTATGACATTATCGAAAGATGTTTTGAAAAGTTAGCTGGAGAAATTAAATACAAAACGACATTTCAGGTAATTAGTTGTTTCCATTTTAGAACTTGTTCTATATGAGGCTATCCTTTGGTCATTTACAGCGATATGTAATTACGTTATGGATGCAGCTTGAAGCTGGAATGGGCTACGCTCCGAGCACAGGTACAGGAAACGATGGAATAATTGTCATTGAAAATTTAGCGGATGCTAAGAAGGCTATTGAATTAATTAAAGTCCAGGTGCAGTGTTATTGTCCAATATGTACATTGCTTTTTATGGAAGGTTTGTATAAATTGGCTTACGTGAAAATTGTGATTTTCTATGGCTTTAATTATATAGGGAGAAGGATCACAAACCGAAGACGAAGCCTCTCATTACAAAAAATTCCAAGTCTGCTTGAAATTGATTCAAAAATCTTGTGAGAAGGATTATCAGCTCTGGCCTGTTATTGATAATCCAGATCGTTCGTAAGTGAAAGCTTTTCTTTTTCCGAGGGTTGCAGGGTGAAAAAATTGACATTCACTTTCCATATATTATTAATTTGACTTTCGCCTCCTATCATAATAGAACTTATAATGATAAACCAGATATTAAACGTGTTGCCACAGCCTTTGATGCCTCCTATTCCTATCTCATGTTATTGCTAGAAAATGTTTGGAAAATTGGTGGCCAAGACAAAAATAACTTTGTGATGGGTGGATTACCAGCATTGATGCATGGTGTTTTGAAACCTATTGCGATATATCTTGCTGGTATTTATTTGTAGATTTTATCAATAAATTTTTTTTGCATAAATATTTCTTTTTTATCTTACGAGTTTTTCAAACTAAATATAATACACTTAATAAGGGACCCCAATTTCCCCTAGCGAACACGCGGGAGCAACCTTCGACTATTACAATTTCACTCGTGGTGATCCCTCGAATACTCCAAAAAATCAACTTATTGGTGTTGTTGATGCGGCAGGATTTGGTAAAGCAGAACTTGAAAAATATGGTTTGAAACATGTACTGGATGTGGTCAAGTCGTTGCCAGAAATAGAATAAATAGAATTTAATTAATGGCATATATACACACTCAACAAATAAAAACCGACGCAGTTATATTGTGGATGTAAAAAGATTGAAGTTCTATAAATATAATAAATTTTCTATTTTTTTTTCCAGCAAGTAAACATCATATTAATGTAATTTTTTTATGATTATGGGTTTGAAGTGAAAAGAGTAAATAATGGTCATAAAAAAGATCCGAATATTCAACACCACCATGAAATGATATTAATCATGTAACCCCGAAACTTTGAAACTAAAATTATTTTTTATAAATTGGTATCACTCAGTATTCCATTACCTGTTACTTAAAAAAATCTTGGACATGATAAATTTCCAGTATAATAGTTCGATAATGATAAACGATTACTGGAATTTGGACATCGTTTTTTGTTTCTTACCCATTGATGAAATTCAGGACTACTAAAGCGTAAAATAAAACAAAATATAATTATTTTGCAACTACATAAAATTAATATCCAAAATTATACAAGTAATTGAACCATCTATTGTAATATTCGAACTTGTTTCTTTGATTTTTTGCCATGTTGATATAAACACGAGCAAGCCAACAAATGATGAATGACAAAAGTAAAATAGTTGGAGTCATTCTATACTTGGCACTTGAAGTGTTATTAAGAAAATCATATAAAAAAGGATCAGACATTTTACAGTTGTGGTATGATAGTGTGGGAATTTATTACAGGAAAAAGACCTCAAATCACAGATGATACTCCTGAATTGATGTTGGGATCCAAAACCAGTGAATAGATCAATAGCATATAAGATTTACTAAAATATTCGAGTTTTAAAGAAAAAGATTATTGAATTAGCAGAAGCTAAACAACAAAAAATTATCAAATCAGAAATATATTTAACAGACACATAGAATTATAAACATCATCCAAAATCAGTTTATACAAGTCGTCCACTAAACCAGTGTTGTAATTGGCCTTAAGGTTAAATATTTTTAATTTGGATTTAGCCTAACGGCTAAATTGGCCTTATGGCTAATTGGCTGTTGGGTCAAATAACCCATGTTGTCATTAGCCTTGTGGCCAATTGACAATTAGATCTAATTGGCCTTAAGGCAATTAGCTCAGGCTAAATGTCCCATTATGTAATATAATAATAATAATAATAATAACAACATAAATGTGAACAAAATGTATATAATCATGCAACATCATTGCATGCACGATTGTTTATTTTTATTATTAACATTATTACAGTATAAAAATCAAACCTTTATTATGTCATAAAATTCCCAAGTTTATGTGAATATTCACATTAATATGAATTAGCATATTCGAAATTGGTGTCAAATAATTTTTATATATTCGAATACCCATAACACTTTCGAATATTGTAACACTTTTGAATATTTTACGTTATAATTAAATCATGATAAATGTAATGTTTATGAAAATTAATAAGAAATGGTGATATTAAATCAATTTCCAACTGGTGTACATTGGTAAGCAATTGGATTGAATTAGTTAAAGATGAGGAAATGGACCTTTAGGATGGTGTAAATATATTAGAAAACACAATGCTTGTAGATGAAGACTTGGAATTTGTTGACACCTCTAACATTATACATCCTGCCGATGATGTTGAAGAAAAGTGGAAATTACAAGATCTATTTAAAGATTCTCTTGGGCAACCCGCATATTTAACTTTGCTAATAAATGGATAAAGAGAAAATTTGGTTTTAAATGTATTATGAAATAAATTAAAAGATTATTTTGTTTTAGTTATTTGATAAAATTCATTATAAATTAATTTTAATGTTATGACATTATGGGCTAATTGGAGTTATAATGTCCAATTAGTCTTATGGTCAATTAGCTCGTGTCCAAAAGGCCAATTAGCCCAGGACAATTGACTGACAACACTGCACTAAATGGATCAATTGAGCAAGCTGTATCATCACCAAATCAGTTCAGCAGTGTAGTAATATTGATAATATATTTATCTCGATTGGTTTGGTAATGTTGTATGTGAAATAATTAAAATTTTGGGGTAGGGTGTTTGGATATGAAATTCTGATTGGCTAATTTGAATTTCACATACGTGAATTACAAATTCACATAGATTTCATTTTCACGCACAACAATAATAAATGTATATATTAAATATTACTATTGTTATATATATCTGATCAGTGTCTAAAATATATGTGCGGAACGCTCGCTCCGAACTTAATAATTTATTTGCACACAGTATAATTTTAGTGTACCCAACTTTTATAAATTTGTGGCTTAATGTGTGGGATTCATTTAGATCAAATAAAATATTAAATTATATAAATATATAAATATATATTAATGCCAGTTCACAAATCCTTATTATTATATAAAAAATCATTACTTTTTTTCGCAAGGTATTTTTTTCTGATGAACTTTTTCAAATATAAGATATTTTTTATTCATTCCATTCACATTAAAGCTTTTGAAAAGTATTCAAAAATGGATAAATTTGTTATTTGTGAAAATAAAGAAAAAAGTAATGAAAGATCCAAATAGGCAGTAACTACATAAAAGCAAAAAAATAAGGAAATAACCGGACAAGAATTAAATAAAGTATGTGAAGATTTTGATCCAATTTGGTTACGAGTTTTACTCTTGGCTTGAAAAAAGTGAAGACAGTAATAGAATTTTTATTGTTTACGTGCATATAATGTTTTTATTAATTATGATTGTCCTAACCAAATTCTATAAGAAATAAAAATAATTTATATATATATATTTAATGGGAATTATGGTAACTAATTATCACCATAGAGACGATTTATTTTAACCTTTCATTATTATTTACGGGTTTTTGGTACGTTAAATAAAGTAATGGAATTAGCTGTTAAAGATATATATCTAAATCAAAAATACAGCAGTTTTAAGAAGGCATTCCAAAATAAATCATTTTCAAAAAAAAATTTTTTTAATCATAAAACTTTTTATGCAATTTCTTGTGCCTTAGATAATTAATGATAAATGGTTTGAAATGGCCATTTTTAAATGCAAGAAATTTTACTGTTATCAGCCCCGATGTATCTATACCACAAATTTAAACCAGTAATGTAATTCTAGTTTGTCCAGAATATATGTAATAGATAGATGTTCAACCAACCTGGAACTTCTCTCATATGGATAAAGTTCGGATAAATTGTTAAATAATTGCTGAATAATTATTAATAAAATGACAAAATTCGACTAAATTTAATAAATAATAAATTTTCAAGTGGTCTACTAAAGATGACTCCTCAAACTAATTGCAGCATATGAAATTTAATTGCATCTAATTGCGGTTCCCATCTTTAAATGTTACTAACATGATAAAATGGAATAATGTTATGTATATCACCCTTGTGATTTGACAGCTTTGATTTAATCACCAGTCCCATTTTCTGTTGAAGTTTTCCATATTTCTGAACAGAATTTGTAATTGACTAAAAAATTTTTTTAAAATTGAAAGCATAATAAATAGAAATCTTACTGCAGACTGGCTTGCATGTTCCCTTTCTAAAATATATAGAAAAAATTAAAATTAATGATTTAAAGCAATGAGTAATCACATAATAATATAAATAATATAATAACTAATTTGATTGTCACGTGACAATTCTAAGAAAAGTGATTAATAATTAATAGTATAATGTTATTGCAAGAATATATCAACTAGAACTTTTGATAATTAATAATAGATAAAATATGGTCATGTAACAATTCTTACTGATCGTACACCACCAGATCTAAGCAAAGTGATTAATGTTATTACAAGAATATATCATAATTAATAATAAATAAAATATGGCCACATAACAATTCTTTCTGATTTCGTTTAACCATTAATCTTTGGAAAAAGAAATCATGTAAATATCTTTTAATTTAATTATTTCATTCCTAATACATATATATAAAATATATGAGTATAAAAATAAAAAAGTAAATATTAAAAAAAAAAACATGTTACCATTACTTGGGTTCATAAAACCGTTTTTTATGAATCTCTCTAAAATTAATTAACCAACACTAGATGAGATCTACAAAGCTTGGAAAGCAAGTTTTGTAAAATATACTTGATGAATGCTTTATCTGGTTGTATGATGGGCAGGTTTGATTATTTGAAATGCCATATAAGTATTTAAATTCAAAAAAAAAAACAAAATAGTTCTTTGCCTATTACCATATATTTTTGTATCTTGCTAAGTATTTGATCGAATTGAATGATAATAGATTTAAAAGAAAGCTTGCACATAATATTCTACAATTGGTATATTATTGTTTCTTGCTTATATTATCTAATTATTTAATCGTTATTATTTATGTAAGAATAAAATGTAAAAGGAAAAATTTTAAATGTGTAATATTATTATTTGCATTTATTTCTACTTGTACTTGTAATTGGGACGCGTCAAAACAAAATTTTAAAATTTTACTATCATCCAATTTTATTATTTTTCAACCTGCGGGAAATGTCATGCGTTAATTAATAATAATAATAATATTATTATTATTATAATAATGTATTTTCCGTGTGTTTTTCGTATTAGTGTATTAGTATGTTTAATCAAGTTAAAGTTAAAAAATAAAATGTTTTGTAAGAAAAAAAATGACCACTTTTATTTGTGGATTTATCAGTTACTTAATAATAAAAAAGGTCCATTTTTATTTGCGACTTTATCAGTTACTTCAGAACTATAAAATCTTATTCTCATATTCCATATAATAATAATAATAAATGACATCACGGAAAAAATCCAGATTGCTTGAAATAACGGAAAAATTCTGAAATGCCATTTTTTTACAGGGTAGAAGAAATAGGGTAGAATCAGGTTAGAGTAGTGTCAAAGGCATAAACATATGAAGACTTGAGGTTACACTAAATAACAGCAAGTGCCGTATGCCATATGATCATCAAATAAGGGTTACTACTTGGTGATTAGGTTATTTTTTTTGGTTTGCCTAATTTGTGTTGGCCACATCATCAATACTAAC